ATAAATAATTACCTCTCTTTCTTTTCTTCTTTGGAGCTCCCTCATCAACACCAAAGCACTCATGTACATCCATCCATGAGGCATCAATAGGCAAGCAAGGATTCTCCTTTTCGGTGATCTACTCATCATCGGATTTAATATCTGACAAACATATGGGATCGTAGATATCTCCATTCTCTTCTCTACTATTTTGCCTCATCTCAAGTTGAAGATTATATTTGACATATACAAGTGCATTTAATCTTTGTTGCTCCAATCGATTTCTTCTCTTAGTATGCACTTGGTCAAATGTACTCCAATTTTTTTCACATCCCGTGGCACTACATGTAAGACTCAAAATTCTTATGGCCACCTTTTGTAACTCTTTACCTCTTTTACCGTAACCCTCCCACAGTTGACTGAGAGATATAAGCATTGCATGAACATTTAGATTCCCCAGAGCCATCGCCACCAGTGAACATCACCACAAACCGGGCAGTACAAACTAGAAAAGGGAAAGAAAAAACGTTACAACGGCAAAATCCATATTCCAATATAAATAAATAGATGTAAAGTGTTAACAAAAAATAACACATAATGAAGTTGGAAGGTTAAAACAATAGAAACTAAGTCGGCATGAATAATACCACAAGAAACAACTGTATTTTTTTATCATAATAGTTCTTCTTTATGCAGAAACAGGATAAATTACATCTCACAAGCAGACACAAAAAGATCCAGAAGAATAGAAAAGGCAAGGCATCATATAAACATATTTTTATAATGATTACAACACTATTTGACAAAAAGAAAATGAAGGTAATGAACAATTACCATAAAAAAGGCCACAAATGTTCTTTCGAAACATGTTATAGAGGTCCCGAAAGGATTCTTCCCAAGCTACTTGTCGTTTCCTCAAGAACTCCAATTCTATGGCATGAAAAGGGAGGATAAGAGCTTGAGGAAAATGGAGAGAGGAAAATTACAAAGAAACAATAAACAGATATACTGAAAACTGCTTGAAAACCTCCGTCTGATGTTGATGAGCTTATGAGTGATATTATTGAAGGTGGTAGAATGGACTCAGGATACATCCATGAAGGTAAAACTTTAAATCCTTCATAACCTCTCATATTTTGACTCTTGAAATCACTGTGCCAGAAGGTTAAATGAGGCATGGTACCGCGCATAGCTGACCTATGTACCATGAACCTTTTTTCCTTTTACTGTCCCATTCTCTACATCCAAGCAATCTTCTTTCTTTTATTTTTTAGTTTCCAAGAGCTTCACAAATATTTCCTTCACATCATCAGGAACACTTGGGCAAGCAATCACATCTTCCTTTGTCCCAGCAAGATGATGTTTCATCCTTGAAATACCACCCCAACAAACATGAAAACAGAACTTACATTTTACTTGAAATCTGTTTGGAGGGATACTATCACAATAGTTCCAAGTGATATCG